AGACCTAAAACTTCCAGCTGGCTAAAGAAATCAGATGCACTCTCAGGCATACTTCAGTGAAAGGGAAATAAGAACTCAGGTGGAGTCAAAGATATGCAGTAATAACTGCATGCGAAGTTAGTAAATACTTTGATAAAGAAATGTCATTTGATATTGTTCACTTGGCTTCTCTTTAGACATATTTTAAATATCCATTCCCACTCAAACTATGCTATTTAAACTTATTCAGAACAGGTGCAACTCTCTGCCTTACCAGCATCTGGTCAACATAGTTCTTCAGTATTTCTGCAACTTTTCTGCAGTTTTCAACAGCAGTTATGTAATTCACAGTTGTAGCACCACGATTCCAATCAACTATAATGAGATTAATATCCTCTGAAGCCAGTAAAAGCTCCTTTATGTCACCTAGCCATGCCGGTGAAGATCCTGTTGGTCTGAAGCCGTGAATAACAAGGACAATTTTCTTGGAGGTATTAAGGTACTCAGATGCAGTAACATTATGTTCAATGAGTCTCTCAGAACAATTTGAATTTTCCCTTGTGTATAGCAGTAGCTGGACTTTGAGTTCTGTCCCAGACAATGCATTGCCTATATTAAGATCTGTAAATTCAGGACATTTTTTCTCCTCATCTGAAAAAGATGAAAAGGTTAGACAGTCATTTGATGAGTTAGAACACCTGAAATGCCACCTCTTCACTTTTCTTCCCACATTTTTCCACTAAAAGTGAAGAGCTTCCATTTTCTTCACTCCAGACCTTTGGAATGAGGTGCCAGAAGATGCACTGAAGAACGAGGACATACAGTTTCACTAACAACTATGCAGATACCACTATGATCCTCTGAATCCTTCAAATACAAAATTAACCTTTCTAATTGTTCCTGAACCATGTATTTTCTCCATAACAAATACAAATTAGGAGTCAGTGTTGATAAGATGCTTTGCTTAAGCATTAAATTTAGATTCTCAGAATTTTTTCACAACTAATATCTGTTGAATAAACAGGAAGACTGCTGTGGTTGTTTCTTCCTCTTTCGGCCAGGGTGTCAAAGTTGACAATCCTTAGACCTTATTGTTTGATCTAGCAATAAGAAACACTTGCCTGACAGTACAGGGATGATCCAGAACCCTTCCCTAGTTTTGGATCACCATAAAGACACCATTACCAAGAAACAAAGAAAGAAGAAACAAAGGATCCTGTTCTGAGTTTGTGTCCTGGTTTTGGCTGGGATAGATTTAATTTTCTTCCTAGTAGTTGGCACAGTGCTGTGTTTTGGATTTAGGATGAGAAGAATGCTGATAACACACTGATGGTTTAGTTGTTGCTAAGTACTGCTTATGCTAGTCAAGGACTTTTCAGCTTCCCATGCTCTGCCAGGTGCACAAGAAACTGGGAGGGGGCACAGCCAGAATAGTTGATCCAAACTGACCAAAGGGCTATTCCATACCATATGACGTCGTGCTCAGTATATAAACTGGGGGGGGTTGGCCGGAGGGCAGCGATCGCTGCTCACGAATGGGCTGGGCATCGGTCGGCAGGTGGTGAGCGGTTGCATCACTTGTTTTCATGGTTTTCTTGGGTTTTGTTTCTCTCTCTCATTGTTTTCCTTTTCATTACAATATTATTGTTGTTGTTGTTGTTATTATTATTATTATATTTTATTTAAATTATTAAACTGTTCTTATCTCAACCCACAAGTTTTCTTACTTTTGCTCTTCCAATTCTCTCCCCTGTCTCACCGGGAGGGGAGGGTGAGCGAGCGGCTGTATGGTGCTTAGTTGCTGACTGGCACTAAACCACAACAGTTTGAAAAAAAAAGAATCTGTAAGGTCAATGTACATAATGGCACAAGAAAAAACATAGTATTTAGCATTTCTGTACTTGGACAGTTATGGTATACAAGGTTAAGCTGTAGATCAGTCAGGATCAGCAAGAGGATGGAGATTTTCAGAAGAGTCTGAAAAGACTAAATTTTTCCCTTGTGTGCTTATCAATCTTAAAACTTAATGCTTTAAAAAGTATCCTTTGGCTACTGAGGTCACACTGTGTGGATACGCCACTTCAGGATTCTGGGCACAATGCCAACGCCTGTCACAGTTCTTCTGCATGGCCTTCGCTACGGTGTTAGCTGGTGCATGGCCAAAGAAATTTGGGCCAATCTCTTGACTTCTAGTGGGCTATGCAACTCTACACAAGGCTTTTGTCTGATATTTGATGGCATCTTTCTCAATTTTCCTGTCATTAACAACTTTGTAAAACAAGACTCAGTCAACTTCTAGAAAGCAAAAGTAGGAAGAGAAATAGTACCTACTCAGTTCCTTAAAAAATAATAAAAAAGTAACCTGAATTTCTCAGAATTTTTGAGTTACAGGAGAGACAGTTCTAGCCCTTCTCCTTTTCCCAGCAAGTGGCTAGCAGGCAGAACTGAATCCACCACATCTGCACATCTGAGACAGACAGCAAGCCCTCACAGGTTTATAAAGCTGCAAAGGTCAAGTGTCAGGGGTTTACAAGGTATGTGAAAAATGTATTTGATACTATAGTGCAGATCCAAGCAAAGCTAAACAATAGGAATTACAGCACTTAAGATGCAGTAAAGATGCAGTAAAGACTAATTCACTTAGGGAACTATAGACCAATGACCTCTAGACCAATCCATATATGTACAGGGACTAGACCTGTCACTTCTGGACTGGACATCACACACACAAAAAAAAAAAAGGATATTTGCAAACTGGAGCAGGGTTGAAGTTACAGAGTGTTAGAAATGGCTTGAAACTTCCTGCCTTAAATCATCCACACAAAAGTTTCATGCCTATCACCACCTTAGGACAATAGCTACAGTTACTACGTCTAGGAAAAGACAGACTTACCTATATTTCAAAATAAATATCACCGTTCTCCTCATTTTGACATTGAATAATTTAAGTAAGTTTTAGTGTGATTACTGGACAGGTTATTAACTAACTAGTGGTACAGGAAGTCCACTCAGTTTTGTTGCTGAGACTTATCCAAGAAGAAGTTCTGAAACTAAGAGCTGTTTAGCGGCAGTTGCCTTGAATTTAATGAAAACAGTATTCAAGAAGCTAGTAAAATGTCACGCATGTGACATGATACTGAGATGTTAATAGAATGTGTCATATTTATCTCTAGTTTTCATATAATGATATACGACAATAAAATTAGGATAGAAATCCTATCACACAAATGTCATATACAAAGCTAAATGATAAAAACCAGCCACTTGATTAAATTTTTGCTATTCAGATTCAGAGCTACAACATGAAACTCTTTCATTTTTGCCTAATATTGTTCTTAAATCCAAGTTTAATTACTGATCCTTATGATTCACTCCTACATATCTAACATGTAAAAGATTCATACTAAGATATTGTTGAAGTATTCCTCCATATCCATTTAAATGTTTTGATTTCTTATCATTCGATTGGTAGAAATAAGAATGAATTCTTCTAAAGCCAGTGGAATGACAGTGACATAAACTAGAGACACAGTCTGGTCCACGCATGTGAGAAATCTATCACAAGGAAATTATTTTAACCAAGGAAACCTATTTACTAGCTGGAAAATGTCAAAGGGAAACAACTTGTTTACTTATGGCTGTGAAATGACAGCAGTTATTCTCTGAAAAGTAAACAGAGAAAAAAAGAAAAGATTATGTCTTTACTGTGGAATTAGGTACGTACTATAAATACATTTATAGATTAAACACATTGAATAGTTTAGCAAGGAGTCATTGAGGGGAAGTTTTTCAAACTCCTATTTCTGATTGATTACTGGAAGGAATACCCAGCTGCCCTTTGTGCGCACCTGTGGGAGTACTCACATACGCTTTTCTGTACAGTCAGAACATACAGATAGGCATTGGGCAGTTACATATGCAGCTTAACTCAGTTAATATACAATTTTAACTTTCCTGTGTACGTTTGTAAGCATTGTAAGTACCTTCTGTGGTTGAAAAGGGGAAAATCTTAAGTGCGCACTTTCTTTGTAACGAAATTTTACTATCTAAAGCATAACTTGAAAACCGTCAACCTATCAAATCAGCAATAAACAATAAACTTAAGGTAACATGTTAAAACTATTTCGCAGTTACCTCTTTACTTCGTACAAAGTGCACATACCTGAGTGTGTCTCTGTGCAAAGTACAGCCAGAGATAAGGTATCAGGCTTTGTTCTATTTACTTTAAAATGAAAACCTATGTCTCCATTTCAAAGTGATCAAATTCTCTTTACTAAGTCTGCTCCATTAGGCATAACTCACAAGGTTTAATCTTTTGGCCAACTTAAATGAAAGCATATTCATTTTTTTATGCTTGAATAAAGCCAAGAGACTACGTCACAAAGAATAAGCTAATAGTTCTTACCTGATTTCACCCAGTATAACAAACAGATGAAGAAACACAATTTCAGCATGTGGAAATGGAGAAAAGCAATATCCACAAACAAGTGGTAAATCTAGTGTTTCCTTATAGTATGCTAGATTTCTAACCTAACTGAATGCCACTAAAGAAATGACATGGAGTAGGAAGCAGAAAGCAAAGCTGTATTCAAGCTTCTGCAATTCATGACTCCTCCTATTGAATGACTTCAGTAGGTAGGGTGGCTTGTGGCCTTTAAGGGTTGGGACTGGTTTTTAATCTATTTCCCTCTCTCTTTGTCTATCAGCAGACTTACACGTAAGCAGTCAATGTTATATATTGCTGACAAGTCTGTTAACACGCGTGGACTTTAGGAAGCAGAGTAACTAGAGGTACAGCACGTTAGAGACCCATAGTGTGTCTTTTTTTATGTGTGTCACTCAACTGCCATTAGAGGCACCGAGATGGGCAAAAGAAAATTAGAACAAAAAGTCATTCTGGTGACAGAAGGATTTTTCTGTAAGAACTTGAAAATAATTCTGAGAACTGTATCTCCATTGACTGTTTTTGCACAAAATTATCTTCTGAGCTTTTTCCAAGGAGTGATTCTCTAATCTAAATCCGGAGGAGGTCTGTGAAAGCGCTTATATGGGAGAGAGATGGAGCTTAGCGCCCCACAAATCTCGCCCAGACACTGACTTGCTGGGTGTTTTGGGTGTGTAACTTAACTTCATTCCCTCTGTGTCCCCAACTACAAAACAGATGAAGAAACGTTTATTTTTGTGAAGCTCATTTATTTACAAAGCAATTCACTGGGTAAATACAAGAGGACAAACTTCAGTTTCTTGGAGTTCACGGTGAGGCAAAGAGGTGGATAAACTCTGCATTGTCCAAGTGAGACGTCTGGATGCTCAGTTTGCCTGTAACTGGCCCCCAATTATTTCCACTGCAGGAGGAAGAAAAACAAACCATAACGCCTCAAATATGAGAGATACATATCCCAGGAAGGTTTTTTTCTGTAGTGTATACTTCACAGTGCTTCTAAATGCAAGGTCTAGGTCTCCTTTTCCATCCACAACAGCTAAGGGGATGTGTGTGTTTCATTATTTACTTCTAAGCGATCCGGCTGGCTTTATGATTCTGAGGAGCTCAACAAAGCTGTGCTACACAAGGTCCGGCAGCAGAGAGCCTTTAGGAAATATCTTCAAAGTCTTTTCCCTTTGAATGAAGCCACAGGGAGAGGAAGATGCACTATGTGCACTTATACTCAAACTGACTCAGCTTAACCGGTGACCTTTTAGCACTTTTCTGCTTCCATTTCTCAAATTTGTCACCCTATTCTCAGTACAATTCACTAAGGCAGCTCTTGTTATCCCTTTGCATTCCCTCTTCATCTCAAATCTTTGACACTTTGCCCAACTATTATTATAAAAGCACAGCCCTACTGACATTACGTATTACTTAGAACGAGTAATGGTATAGTGTCAATTTGGCTCTTTCCCCTCTCTATTTGTTAACACAGATTATTGTTACAACAAAAACTTAGAGCACCCACGCAATCACCGGTTGGGCAGCCTCGGCACGCTCTCGGTATGCAGCATGCATTCATACACAAGTTAAAGCACGGAGAGCTCAACACCACTAAAAATGAACTGGTAATAGCCCTAGTAAAATACCCGTCGTGCTTATCCCAGGACCAATCACCTGATCTTAGAAGAAAATCTTACATATGTACCTCTACATATACCTAATGCCACTAGCTGTGAATAAACACTTGCTCTTTTACACATGAATGGGGAAAAGAAATTTTCAGTTCCCTCTTGAACTGAAAACAAATAAGCCCAGCTCACACGTAAGTGAAGTACAGTGCTACCCATGCCGATATGACGACCCATGGAACAGTTTTAAAGGCCTCTGAAATCAGTCTCGGGAAAGGACTGCTTTCTAAATCAACGCCCAGAAAGTTTTGCAGTATTAATCAGGATGTTGAACTAGCGCTTGTTGGACTCACCTGTCGTATGACAAGGGGACTGAGTTCACCAACAACGACACTTACACCACTTAGAAATCCATAAATCTTAACTACGGGTACTGTTTACACTGTCGTTGCTACTGACAACCCACTGTCAGGTAAATCCTTCAAGGCGACTCCGAGTTGCAGGTACGCTGTCACAAACAAATGCGAGACCCACGAAGTTCAGGCGCTGCCCACCCGGCTTCGCTGCGTTTTGTTACGTCCACTGCTTTTCTCACAAGGACACACCACTTCTCGCACTGAAATGCCGAGTTACCTGCTCCAAAGGTGCCTTATGTGCACCAGCGGAGGGTCCCGGCGCTGCCCCTTCAGGACTTTGGCCGTCCCCCACAGTGCTCAGGACCATAACAGCAGTACCTCCTGAACGAACCCTGATGCTTTTGGGGGAGCCCACAGCCCACCAGCTATTAAAAAACCCTCAAGACCGGTCAAGTATTCAAGTTGAAAAAAATATGTAAAAACTTCATTTTATTACAGTACAAGATTACAGGTAAAGGGGTGGCACTTTTACAATTCAGTTTACCCCCAGAAGTTTCTCACGAAATAACAGCTAAAAGCATTACAGCACGGTTTTCAAGATTAAGATCAAATTCTTATGCAAGATTTGCTATCCCTATCTGTGGTCACATGTAAATGTATTTCCCCTTCTAATCTTCTCTCTCCCCCAAAAGGTTTTGTAATCTTGGGAAATCCCACTCTCATAACGATTCTCATAACAACTCTCATTTCTCTTATGCATCAAGCCACTTCTCCAGAAAAATTCCTTTCTAACCGCTAGCTTAAGAGCGGTGCTCCCTTTCAGGTGAGACAAAATCACGCCTGGCTTTTGCAGTGCAGTATGTTTAACTATGAAAAAAGACTGTACAAAGATTACAAAGGGAAAAACCCTGACTGGTTGGAAAAAATTTAAGACTCATTATGTATTCTACACTGCGGCTTGCAATTCCTGTAAATTGATAGCCCCTTTCTAAATAGACTTGACAAATCAGTAACTAAGCCTCCATTTGAACATAATGGGCATCGAGGCAAAGCATACCATCTATGCTTGGGGAAAAAAACCCAGTATTTTTCACATGGCTGTCATCAGGATGACTTCTGAAAATGTGCTCCTTTGTAAAGTAACACTTTAAAAATATATACTGGATGTTAAATGTCTGTACACGGTTGAAACCTGTTTGTAGCAACCATGCGACAGTGGGTTATAACGTGGGTATAACTTCAGCTTTAAAGACAGCAATCGTATTCCACTTCTGTTTAAATCTTGAAAAATGTGCAACGTCCAACACCTTACATGCGTATTTTATTAGTAACTATCACAACGCTACATCATACTGATGACTAAAACACTTGAGGGCTTTAAAGGTTTTTGAAGTATTTGTCACCAGCCCTGCTCCAGCAGCTGCAATATCCACCTGCTCCACGAGCTGCCAAGGGGAGAAGGAGATTTTTGGGTTTCTGGAAATGCGTTTTTTTTCCGGCTGTTCACTGCGCGCTTGCAGTTTCGCACAGACGAGAAGGAATTATCCCGGGGTGCTCACGCTTCTCCCCGAGGTCGTGTTTCTGTACAATTCGGGCTTCCACTGGTAGGTGTGACAACAATAATCCTTCCCTCCGGTCAGCAGGGAAACCCCAGCAATGAAAGAATTAAATAACCGTCTTCACGCGGTGAAGCTCCCCGCAGAATAAGGGCACTGGCCA